CATGAAGTTGCAAGTTCCACAGAGCCGCTGTAACGCGTTAATGGTACCGCATGACGGGATCTTGGTTCAATATGGTGGGGACCGAGAGAATCCTCTTATATAACGATCGCTTTGAAGTCCTTTCTGAAACATCGATCAACGATCACGGAACGAACACCAAACTGCATCCTTCGTCCACCTCCTCGAAATTTTAAATAAAATAACAATTCCAAACAAACATAAGGGGGTAAAAATAGTTTTATAAGGTGATAACGAAGAACGAAGAAGAAGGGTAGCAAGATTTGTTTTATAAAGAATCGACGTTTAACTTAAATTAATAACGATTTTTTCCAGAAATAAATTCACGAATGCGAGATACTTGATCCTTGATCCTTATTGCGCGCGACTGCGATGCATTGAAGGCGTATTATTATTAATATATTTCTTGAAATAGATAACCGAGGAATGTAAGACAAGGTAACAGAACCTGTAACGCAGGAAAAGCGGGTGCTCGACGATAGATCGGAGATCAATCGCGGCTCGCCGTAGATCTGCGCTCGTTGCCGCCTTTTCCAGCGTCCACGCGCGCACCGACAACGTGTCTCGCGTTTCCTTCGTTGTTCGAGGAGACCCGTCGTTTTATTATATCGACTGCACGCAGCCCCGACGAACGGTAATCAGCCGAGTGGTGTATTTATCGCGTCGAAGAGATCGATAAAGTTGTCTCGATCTTTCGTCGCGGTATCCAACGGGTGGTTAATTGTTCGGTTGCGTGTCAGACGGATCAGCGACCGATCAGAAGTTCGCGAAGTCGCTAAATCCACCCAGTTTCGTCGACACCCGGGTCTAACGAGCGAACCAACAATTAACATACCTACACAATTTTTTCTTTCCCGATCGCCTCGCGGTTATAAAAATACCGACAATCCCGGCGGAAAGTTTAAAAACTAATAGAGAGAAAGCAAAACTCGTTTCGACCTCTTTCAGAAAATTGTGTCGCAACGTCCTCTCACGTAATAGCTAAACGCGTATAAGTTGTACACGGTTTGCTACGTGTGCGTGAACCAGCCCCTATAATATTGGAAGAAAAATTGGATTCTTAGCTTCTTCGGGGGAGTCAAGTGACAAATTACAGGGAATACTAATTTAACATCGTATCTACGATACCTGTAAAACGGGGATTTAAAAAAATTACCAGAGGCGCGGAGTGTCGTCGAACGTTTCTGGAAAAATGAATATGCAAATATCTCGATAAAGTTTTTGCCGTTTCGAAGGCGAATAGAAGCTTGTTTTTAGAATAAATGAGGATACGTTGGGTGATTGGGGATTCACCGCGAATCACGAAACTGGAAAACTTCCGTGTTGAGTCTCTCAAGGAGGCAGTCTCTCAGGTCGTTGTTTTAATTCGTTGTTCGGTTCGGTATTCGACCACGACGAATAATTCTACACACGGCGTCACTTGTCAGGGAAACATGCATTATTAACGATGCCACATGAATATTGCGTATCAGATTAGGAGGCTATGGCAATTAAATTATACAGGCGCGATCGACGCCAATAGCAATTTGTGACATTCAAAACAATGAGTTATTAAATAATCGATCAGAAGCATTCCGTTTAATCCTTCGATCCGTATTCCGTACGAGTGTCACGCAATAGAGACACTATTATTATATTTAAACTCGAGCCTTTATCGAGAAAACGTGATACGAAATTACGATTCCAAAACGTTACGAAAACGTGTCGTGTTCTTGGTAAAAATCGATGTTTTTGAAACTTTCTAGCTGAAATTTTATTGTTTTCTAATTGGCGGATGAAGGTAGAACGTTTATTCCGATATGCATGAAATTCACATAACCATAAATGAAATTATAAGGCAAGTGGTTAACAAGCACACTTCGAAATTAAATGTTTTATCCTTTCCAAATTTCCAAGTGTGTAATTGCACATTTCGCAAGAGTAATAATAGTAACGAGAAAAGTCGGTTCTTTCCAGGCATGTTTTTCTACCGATCGTCGTAATCTTGCAGAGTATACGATTTCTGTGGCGGAACGAACACAGGCCCTATTTGTTCATCTCCTAAGTGGGTTAAAAGATATAAATCATTCCCGCCTAGATAAGAATATGATAAACGCCGAGTGTGAACACAGGAGATACCGAAACATCTTCGATTCCAAGGGCCTCGGCCCGATAAACTTCCAGAATCGAAGAAAATTCTATTTTCAGTTCGATCGTGAACAACCTGTTGCGTTTCATTCATGAATTCGAATCCGTTAATGAACCATTTCTCGATCGACGTCCAGACGACAGTCTCGGGCAAAACACAGCTTGCGAATGAATCGAAAATGTTTATTCATATTTCTTAATCAGACTCGACGTTAGAGCGTCGATTTGCATCATAATTCTGTCGCTGCAAAAAGTCTATTGCTCGTAGCGGCAAGAAACGTTGAGAACGTAAATACTAAATCGATAAATAAAAACGGAAAGTGCATGAAAATAAAGGCGCGGACGGTGCATTAATATTTATACCAAAACGATTGCGAGAGACTTAGTTTCACTTAAAGTTGATCGATGCCCCTGTTGCATCAGTCTTGATCAAAAATTCATTCGGAAACAGACTTCCGGGCATTGCCCATAAATTTTCTATTTCTATAAAAAAAAAAAAAAATTAATAATCACCAATATTTGGGAACACGCCACCCACGTTTTGTGTACATCGTTGTTCGAAGGTTGCGGGGACCAGGAAACGGAAGAACGCGTTCCTCAAATCTCGAGGGATCGAGAAACATTATGATATGCTAATCGAGCTTCGCCTTGACATTTCTAGATCTCCACGAAATTTTTACGGAAGACGCGTGGGTCGTGTATGAGAACCGCGAAGGACACAGGCGTTTCGAGGAACGAATCGGTAATTAAACCAAGGATCCAAGATTCGCTTCTCCTTCCGGCTCTCGATCCCAAGGAACAACCGATCCGACGATTAATATGCGCTTCGGATCGTGCATCGGATCGAGGGAATACAAAAAGTGTTCCTTTGTTGCTGGCGACTGTTTATTCCAACGTTAGTATCATCGACCCTACAATAATTCTCGGGATAACAATTTCAGAACCGAACTCTTTGTACCATAATGGGGCTACGTGGAAATAAAAGCTACTGGGAATACCTGTGCTAATGAAGATCATTTATTATTTAACAGAGGTAATAATTCACAGATTCGAAGCAGACGTTAGACAGGGACAATTCTTTTTTGTTAAATTCGTGGTAACTCAATTACGAAACGAACAGATACGAATGCATATTGTATGAGTTCAACGTTACGGCGACAGAGTCGTTTACTTAGTAACCTATGTTTATGCAATTTACGTCGTTATCAAGATACGGTAAATACCACGTACTCGGATAAACGTCTAATTTGTTTCCGATTGATTTATCATCCCGAGTTCATACGGTTTTCAAATCGTCTCCTGTCAACTTTTATCGAGTTTCGTAACGCCAGGCATACCCATCGGGTCTGTTGTTCGACGAACAGCTGACGATAATTTTTATTTCACTTCTCTGGTATTTCGCGACCGCCGACAGAGACGGGATCTCGCGTCGCAAATATTTTCCACGGCGAATGGAGCGAGGAGGGGGGCCTTCGAAATTTGTCACGATCTAAACTCTGGATAGAAGACACAACGAAATGAAAACTTTTGGCCTTCGAAACTCTTTCGACAACAGCCTAGTCCAGTGGCTTCAAACACGCCCCTCGAATAAGCGCGTGGCGAACGACTGGAACGTGAACCGAAGTCAAATCGACTGCTCGTACGCGATGATTCACGAAGGGGCGTGCATGAGTGTGGAAGAAAAGACTTTTCACGAAGACGACACTATCTAGGATCCTATCCATGCAATTTTGATGTCGAGAAACTTCGAAATATCTTGGTAAACTTGGAAATCTTGAAAGATTTCTAAAGACTCGGATTGAATTCAATGCAATTCGATTTTAGACCACGAAAATTGCTCGCTCGAAGTCCGTTTGTTCCAAGAAAATGGTACAGCGGCTCAATTAACGATCGAAACCACGCGTCTGAAAACGAACTCCGGTTATTCGAAAGAAAAATCAATACCGCGAAGAATTAGCGTTTGTCCCAATGCAGGTTCGGATAAAAGAGCTAAAACTAGATCGAAACGCGAGCCCACGACTCTTGGAAGATTAGCTCCAGCTATTCTCGCGGAATTTCTGTTTGAAATTTTCTATACAAAGAAGAAATAATCCCTTCGTGTTTTGACCCGTTAAACGAGCGTTTGTATTTAATGTTCGAAGGGAAATCGAGAGTCCAGGCACACAAGAATCATCTCGATTCGACGTTCTCTCGGCTCCTTTAGGGAAACGAAATTGCATCAGCGGAATGCTCCCGACTACGAACGACTTTAACGATTCCGTCAACTTGTTCCACGGATCTACGTCCTAGTTTAGAAACTCAGTTTCAGCAGTTCGATGTAGCCTGGCCGTGTGCATGTACAGCATATGAAAGCGTTTTATCCGTTCGCCTCGAATCTCCTCGTTGGACTCGTTCCTAAGGTTTTGTCTCGCTTCGAAAGTGGATCCCGAAAAACGTATTTGTTCTCTCCGAGCAAACAAAACAGAGGCGAACGATTTTCGGGCGATCTGGTATTTGTCTTCGGTAAAATATCTTGTTGACAACCCGGGGACTCAAACGGAGACCAAATAGGGACTCGTTCACGATCTAAACACGCGCGAAAGTCAACGAACATGGGTTCAGCGAGCTCTCGTTCCAACTCTGGTTCAACCGATAATATTAACGATTCATTGCTGAGAGATGCTAGTATTCGCGTCGAGTAAAGGTTATCGATCAAAAATTTACCAGCGATTCGAAGGAACCTCTGCCGATTTCTGGAGGCCAGATCCGCGAAAGATCGTTTCCGCGTGACGGTCGTTACGTCAGAAGGAGAAACAAAGTAGCCACGGTTGTCTAATACCGGGCTGGTTCCACGACTAGTTACTTTCTTCACTTACCGAAGAATCGAGCGACCACTGGGACAGCGATCTCGCGTAATCGTCTCTTCCTCTCCCACAATGGAACACACACTTCTCCGTTTTTTCTCGTCGTTGACACTGGACGACGATAGTCTATTTGTTTTCTGACGATCCGAAGATCACGGTAGCCGGGCACGACGGTTCGATGTTTCGCGACGACTTGTTCAGATCGATCATAGAGGAAGGGTCTGGGTACCCGGAAACGCGTGACAAGATGCGAATCGATACGTGTAAAAATCGTAGAAAATATAAGAAAAAGGCGGGAGTGTGCGATTCGCGACACGGATAATATATATATATATATATGTATATATGTGTATGTATATATACTCGTACGAACGAACGCGCTACCGCCGTGCCAAGTCGCGGACTGACAGTGGTTACGCCGGTGGATTGCTTTTAACCGAGCCGCCATATTGGTACCGCATCCCTTCTACTCTTTTGCGATCCTTCGATCGTCGACGCGGGATCGAGCAACGTTAGTCGCGCGCCTCTTGCCGCCCTTCGCGATCTTTCGTTTCTTTTTTCTCTTTTTTTTTTTTTCCTTTTCCTCTCCGGTTTTTTTCCTCCGCCTTTTCTTTTCTTCCGTTCCGGAATTATTTCCACCTGCGAGCGCATTCCGTGGCGTCTCGTTACCCGCTCCCGGATCAACCTCAAATATGTGGCCAGCGAATTATGGGTCCGAACCGATAACTTCGTACGCAACGAACGGACCGACACACACACCATTTACATCAAATTTATCGTTTGCCCGTCACTTTTTCCACAACACGGTTAATCAGCGCGTAGACCGTAATTCGTGGCGTTTCCGCAATCCTGCTGTAATCTGAAGATTATGCCGCGTTTAAAGCCCGCGCGATCGGTGCACGTCGCTGTAATAATCGCGTCAATTTGGAAACCGTTTAGGACAAATTTCTTGTCCATTTTCGGAGAGTTAACGCTTCGGATCGAGGGGGGAAATTTTGTAGTTTTTATCGATAAATAATTATGTTACGCTTGGAAGGAAGCTATGGATCCGGAGAACCTGAGGATTCTGGAGTCGCTACGACACTATTTGAGATGGTTTCCATCCATAAGTGTGAAAAACAGGAAAGTTGTTTGAAAGACGGGCTGGCGAATGGTCGATTGAAATGTTATAACGAAAATATAAAATACGAAGGCAACGATGACGGGCATGCCCATAAAAGGAGTGTCTGGGTGACGGTGGCTATAAGAGAATCCTAGAATATAAATTACAGACAATAATGCTGTTAAAGTGATCCAAGTTGAATCTATAAAATTTCGGCGCGGTTATACCGGGCGTTTCTTCTCAAGGCTCTACCTGCTACAAAGAGGCTACTTTTTTCTCTCGAACGGACCAAGGAATTTAGTATGATCATCGATGACTTTGAAAAGGAACGACGGATCATTGACCGTTCTACGTGTGTTTTTTTTCGGGTGGTCGTACATCGAGGCCGACCAAAGATGTTATCATAAGCGTTACACAAGTCGCGTAGGTATAAAAAAAAAAAATGGATTTGAAACGGTACGAAACCCGATTCCTTCGATATTAGAAGAATATCCGTTGAATCTTGCTTTGGGAATTTTATTCGCAAAAAATCGAACCTCTATTTAAAAGGTTTTCGTTCTCGAGTCTCGATCTCCAATTCCCGTAAGATATTTGACGCGAGTTTATATCGACGGTTAGAAAAGAATCGATTCGTATTTACGAATAAAAAGCCAGTCGAAGATGGCTTTCGATCGTCAGCAAAAAAAAATAAATATGCACGAAACGGCGAGCGAAATATGTGATTTGAAATTTAGAAATTTTAGAGAATGCATTGTTTTGCATAAAAATGACGTCAATGAAGCCATTATTTAATTTCGAAAATGGTTCGTCACCAAACCGAGGACCAATTTAAGCGACGCGTCGATAAATAAGTTCGTGTTTTTTCGAGTTTCCTGCGATCTTGACTTTTAAAGGAATTCATTCCATATTCTATTCACGTATGCTTATATAGTTTATACATTTTATATTATATTGTTTTTATACAAAATCGTCGATTCGCCCATCTAGAATGTTGTTGAAAGAATCACGTTATCGAGTACTAATTAGCAATTTAATTTGCATCGAAATTAGGGTCAAAGTACGAACGCCAATATTATTTCGCGAAATTATGTCGGAACGCTCAACTTGAAAACATCGACCGTCACCTTGGCTACGTTAAGTAACGATTATTTGCAATTCTTTAACATATGTTTCCCGAAGCAACCGAGGAAACTCTGCGAAATTAATTGTCCGACGACGAAATACTTGGACGTTGGATTGTTCGTCGCCATTACGCACATGCATGGGCAATTTTATTCACGAAAACCGTGAAATAATTTGCACGTACGCATCGATGGTGAATTAGAATTCTAATGGTCAGTAACCATCTGCAATTGAAATTTTGCTTGGACGCAAATCGACCATAATCATAGCTGTTCGAAAACTATATAGCGGTTCCTTCAAAAAAGCAAGTTAATCGTTCAATAAATTGTCCGCAACGACTTTTTACATTATAGTTATAAAATTGTATTCGATGTAAATTATTTGTAAGTCTATCGAATGTTGTTGGGGGGTAAATAAAATTTATAAATCATTGAAACGACCGTTTTTTATTCAGATTCAATAATTCATATTAGATCCAAGTAATTTGTCATAGCCTTGTTGCAAATTGCATGTAACTTTTTTCTATTTTTATGAGATCACGTTGTCGATCACATTAATACGACATTTCTTTTAATTGAAAAATGGGGATTCTAGAAATATTTGTTAGTTTTTCCTACTTTTCTATAAATCGGATCAAACATCACGAGTTTCGCGCTCTTCTAATCGATTGGAAGGATTAAAAAAACACTTCTCGCTGTTCCTAATACTTGTCGAGAAAATAGTTTGCAACGGACGCGACATCCTGTATAGCCATAGTTGGCTCAGGACAAGCAACCCGACGGTTAAGAGTATTGTATAAGTACGTAATGTTGGCAATAGTTCTACGATCGGTTCATAATTGTAGTTGTTATAGGTCGTTGAACTCGCTGTACGCTGCATAATGCAAAAGTCTGGGCTATATTCTTCCCGAGGAGCTTTTTCTGACTCGAATTCTCGCGCTGATCAAATCACAGACTCATATTCGATAAGAAAAGGCTACGTACAAAGTACCCTTTACCTAAAATTTCGAAATTTCGAAGAAAGACAATCTTTCGAGGTTTCAATGTCATCGATATTTTTCTAAGAAAATAAAAAATCCTGTATCCGAGCACCTTAGAGAGCCACGTGATATGATTCAATAATTTTTTTTTTTTTAAATACGTTCCAAGATTTCAAGGTCCTCGACATTTCTTTTACCGGAAGTCCGTAGTTTCATGGCTGTTACGTTGTGACCGATGTCAAGGCGAAACTTTTACTTATCGAGCGGGAAGGTAAAGTCTGAGAAACCCTGTTCCAGCGTGCACAACATTGAGATATAAGGGTTTTTTTTATTGGGTGTCGACCTTACGAGCGACGAGGCAACATTCAACGCGAAGGCTCTTCCGGTTGCTCCTGCGAAAGGATTGTGAAATTCGCCATTTTGAGTCCCCGAGAGCACTCTTGTAATTCGGGATAGAAGTCCAAGGACCTCTTCGTCCTAACCGCGAATATATTTACAAGAGCGAGGCAAATTCCGAAATCATATAGGTATAAATGAAACCGCACGTTTGAAGATCTTCTCGATTTGTATCGACGCCAAGATTTACAACTTGAAGTTACAGAACTCGTAAATATTATTTAGTAAAGATGTTGAACGTGATTCATGTAATTATGTGAACATATGTAACGATCGGGAGAAAAACCGCATTTTAATATGTATAACCGATAACACAAGTTTTAATAAAAACGTGCGCAATTGATTTCCATAAATCTAGTGGTTAAACATCACTGTTCCGTTCCGTATACATTAAAGTACAGAATAGGCTAATTATCAATCTGTACTAAACAAGGATAAGTAACGAACAGTTATAAATGAAACATAATTGCGTCTGTTGTTTCGCTATTGTGTCAAGTTTAAAATGTATCCTTAAAATAGTCCATATTAAACGTACAATAATAGCGATAATTTATATCGTGTATGAAATTAATGGTCAACTGACAGCGCGCGTAGAAACAAAGATGAAAAATAGAATTGTTAATTTAGTGGCAATATTAGTAATAGATTCAATAACGACGTTGTCACTGTCATCGGACTTCTTGTTTCTTACAACAATTTCAACGACTTTAGTCGCCAATTGAAAGGAAAAAAAATAATAATGTACATAAAAGAGCGGATAAAACGGGTCGAAAGGGCATGGTTAATCGAGTGAGGCTGATTTATAATCCAAATCGATGTGTATATCTTAGCCGCAATCGATTGTTCGCATCGCGATTAAAACTGATGAAATATCATTAATATACAATGCGAATAATGATTGGCCTAAGTTTCCATTAGTAATTTTCAGCTTTTGCTGGAATTTTCTAAAAGTACAAAGTCTGTTTGGACGAGTATGGTCATCGTGGATTCTCGATATTTTATTATTTAACCTTACGCCGCCTTTTTATACAAATCTGCGTCATCGTCTTTTTTTTTCAGGGCCGATTAATTTATCCCGGATTTCAACATTTTCGAGTTCGTTCGATTGGATATTTTGGCCATTTTCACTCGTCGATCGCGAAACTTTTTTTTCCTTTCCATTTTACGAAAATAATTTGCAACGCGTAAAATAACGATACTTATCTAAATTGAACGGGATGGAAGATACTACATCTTACGTTAGTTCTTCGATGAATTAATATTACATTATGAACAAAATGTTCTCGATAAACGCGCGGATAACAAAATAAATATTGATCAAGGCACAATGAATCGTGTCTGGGTAAAAAATTCACTAATTATGTAAAGCATCGTAAGGATTGAAATGCGTGCGAATACTTTTTGCACCCGCAAATGAGTATGAATACGTAGCAATGACGCTTGTTCCTACGACAAATAAGCTATTTATTTATGGACGTTGATAAACATACGTCAATGTATGTTTACGCGGTATTGCACCTGATAAACAGCACAATTACAGGATTCTATATAGTAACAAAAATAAAGAATTTTAATAACAAATGAACGTGAAACGATACGGGGGGAAGTACTTTTCTAAAAATTCCAAGCAACGTATAAAAAACAAAAACGAATACAGATTATTGTCGTTGGTCGTTGTTATGAATTCTTTGGTACAAGGAGGGAGGCTGTTATGACGCATTTAGGGAGTCAAGGACCGGTTTCTAGTAAAAAGTCAAACACGTTTCATTAACAAATAGAACGTACTTCCAGGAAA